AACCGAGCTTGTAAACACAAGTACTTACGATTTTCCTGCCAAAAATCTTAGCTGAGAACTTTTGAAAGACTCTCGACGAGCTCGAGTTCCAGTAAAACCAAACGGAGGAATACAAGTTAAATGTTTACGACCCTGACGGGCCTAAGTCCCGTCAGAACCGTAACCAAGGGCCCCTAGAATGCCCGACGAGCTCACCAACTAAACAAGACATAAAAAAAAATATATATATATAATAAAGAAGAAGAAGATAAGTAAAACAAAGCAACCATGAGATATATAAAAAAAAAAAGAGATAGTTAAAATCCCATACAAAAGGAAAAACAAGGGAAGAACACACCCTTAAACGAAAAAAAAAAAAAAAAAAAAAAAATATAAGCCCCTAAGAAGAAGTAGAGCGATGGGGAGAAAGCCTTGCAGGATCAGACGGGGCAAGAGGGGCGGAGGAAGCCGGACCAACACTCGCCTCGGGAACTCGAGGGGGCACTGGAGCCGAAGAGTGGCTAACTGCTGCTGAAGGACCCGGAGCACCGCTTCCTAAAGAGGAAATCAAGTCCTCGGTAATAGGCTGCCACCACGGATGGTTGATGGGCTCGCGAGGGTCTCCCTTCCAAAGAGGCAGCGTCCTGTTTATCTTGCCTAAGACAGCGGTGGGCTCATTGCGAATAGGAGTGTTCGCCTCCTCGGATATGGCCTCACAAGCGCCTATGGTCTGCTTGACATAATACATGCCGATCGGGCAAGCATCATTCAGGAACAACTTAGTATGAGGGTACCGCTCGAACAACTTGACCCGGTACTGGTCGAGAATGGTCAGACCTTCAGCGGTAGCAAGGAGCTCCCCCAACTTCTTCGCTCGCTCGGAGGCCAGACGACAATCCAGCTCGCTCTGAAACTCCCGCTCCCGGGATTCCATATGCTGCATGGCACGGGCTAGCTCTTCCTCTGCTCGCACGGCTCGACCCTCCAGAACGCTCCGAGTCTCGCATAGTTTGGACTGCATGTCCTCGAGTTTCTCCTCGGCGACCTCACACTGGCGGAGCAAAGTGCCGTTCTCGGTCATAAGGGAGTAGATACGTGAAGTAGCCCGCTCGAGGGCCGTACGAGCGTTGGCGGCTTGCTCATTCAACTCACGGAGGGCAAGGTCCCGAGTGGAGGGATCTTCCTTGCCAAAGCCTGAGGCTACAATGGAACTCGCCTGCAAAGAAAGAATGAGTGTTAGTATGAATCTACGTCAATTGAACAAGTTGACGAACGATCGAAGGGTCGCATACCTGCGCCAAACACAGAGCCGACTTGGCTCGCTGAGAGTAGTGAGGGAGGGACTGGAGGAAAGCTGCATCACCAGGGGCCTGAGCCTTGGACAGTTGGTGGAGCACGAGGTCGGCCGAGCCCTCAAGGTCCGAGGAGGAGAATAGGCTAGGCAACTCTAGGCGAGCCCTTTTCGGGGGAGGAGTAGAACCGCTCAGAGCGAGACGCTTGGAGCTTGTCTCGGCAGACTCTCCTTGAGCTTCCTCGAGTCCGGGATCGCCGCTCGGAAATATAGCCAGGTCCCGCACCTCGGTCTCGCTGTCTAGAAGCTCGATGACAGCTTCAGGACCAGGAAGAGGTAGACCGGAGGAGGGAGATAGAGGGTGCAGAGGGGAATTGGAGCTATGGGAAGGGAGTTCGGGCCCGCGGGAGGAAACCTCGGGCGCGACCTCAGCTGCCGCCGTCGGGCTTGAAGCCCCAGCATCTTTCTTCTCTGCCTCAGCCAGCTCCAAAAGCATATCGATCATCATCTCGGCTGAGAGAGCACACAAAAAAAAAAAAAAAAAAAAAAAGAGAGAGAGTTAGAGCGCAAACATAGTAATAATAATAAAAAAAAAACAAACGCACACAGCTACCAAGCGGCATCTAAAGTCGGGACGGGGGAAAAGGAAAAGAGTAGATATACCCCAAGGGCGACGATCAAAGGAAGGGATCTGCCACAAGCCGGCACGAGAAAAAAGGGGGAGACTGCTGATAATTTTCTCAACATTCCAAGCACAGGGGCGAACGCGAGCCAATAGGCCTGCGATCTCATCCTCGAAGTTCATGCTGAGGGTAGCACGCTTGGGAGATTTAGGAGGGGGAGTGGGGTCAAAAGGCCAGGCCGAGGGTGGGCGAACGAAGAAGAAGCGGCGTTGCCAAGAATCAATCTTCGTAACCAGCCCGGCAAAAAGGCGACCTATTCGTGAAGATAAATGGTAATAGCCGGAGGAGGATCGATTGTGGGTAAAGATGGTGAAAAATAATTCTGGTCGGGGGTCTACGCCGGTGCTGACACAGACTATATAGAAACACGACATGAACTTTATGGCGTTAGGATGGAAAAGTTGGAGGGGAATCTTGTATAGGCTGCCTACATCAACAAAGAAAGGGTGCAAAGGAAGAGTAAGGCCAGCCTTGAATTGATCCAAGTACCAGGTGAGATAGCCCGGAGGGGGACTAGAAGGAGACTGGGAACGGGAGGGGACTAAGAGATGGAAGGAAGCATCCACGCCCTGGGTGGCATAGAGAGCTTCGAGGTCAAATTTGTCCACCAGAGAATGGGTGGGTTTCTCTAGGGATTTCTTTTTATTGGGATGAGGGGAGGAAGAAGAAGGAGCTGTCTTCTTCTTCGGGTTCGGACGCCGCCCGCCCCGGCGAGTAGACCGCACGGGAGCAGGGAGGGGGTTAGTCCGCCCCGAAGAAGAAGAAGAAGAAGTGCCTTGGGAAACCATAGGCGATGATGAAGAAAGCAAGAAAACTAATAACAAGGGAGAAAGGGAGAACAGAAAGTACCTGGGGAATAGAGAGCACACTAGCAATAAGGGAATGGTAGGAGAATAAAGAGGGTATGGGGAAGGAGAGAAGTAACGGGAAAGGGGGGCTTTAAATCCAGAAGGCGGGCCCCAACGACAGTCGAAAGGACACCCGTCATTAAGGGGCACAAGAAACGAAGAGCCCCCACAGGGATTGACGGATGCGTAGGGAAGCGCGCTAGGCAGGAAAAAGAAACGACCGGAGGGGGTAGATGAAAGGACGTGCAGCGAGCGCGAGGAGGTGAAGAACTCCGAGCCCTAAAAATATAGGACTCGGAGTGGGGGACTAGTTGATCCGGATCGGGGCCAGGATTGCGAAGCCCAAATACATTAGCCCACTAAAATGGTCCAGGAATCGCTTAACCGGCCCATATACAAAGGAGAAGCCCAAGGAGGAAAGTAAAGCCCAAAAGAGAGGGAGAGGTCGGGCCCGCATGAGGGTTCGGCGGGCGAGAGTTATCCGCAGTTCCCAACCAGGAAGAGGAAGGTCGGGAAAAGCGGGGAAAAATTAAATGCTCTGACAGGCCTGGCCAGGCACCCATTAAATGCTCTTGTCAGAGCATTTAATGAGTGAATGACTATGTGCGGCCGGGAAGTACGTGAGACAGACCTGCGAGCATCATAGTCCCTAGAAAATAGGGTATTATGATGGCCCGGGACGACTGGCCGAAAGGTGAAAAGCCCGCCAAAAGCAGGCCTTTCACCAGAGCCCGAGAGGGCGGAAAGCCTTCCCGCCAAACATTATAAAAGCCCCAGGGATCCAAGCAGAAAGGGGGTTCTTTTTATCTATCTTAAGCTCTAACAAAAAGTTTACATATTCATGCACAATATATTATACCAGAGCCGTGGTACTGACTTGATCGTCGGAGTGCTAACTCCGGCATCAGTCCGGTTTTCCTTTCTCTGCAGATCCTCCGTCACAGCAGGAAGGACAGCTCATCAACTACGTTGTTCTGGAACGGATCAGATGGAATTGATAAGAATTATACTATGGAGGGTATTTAGGACTAAAAACATGGAGATGGGTTTAATTGAGAGGCTGTTTTTTTGGACCAATGTGCATTTAAATCCCATGTGATGGGCCTTTTTGCCATTCGGCCTATAAAGATAACAATCTTAGGGCTCGTTCGGTTACCGCTATAAGATTCTACTGACTAAATAGTAAGGGCTAATAACACGTCCGGTTGGTAAGATTCACATTTTTTCAAACCCGCTACTAAAATCAAAGCCCGCTATTAAATGCTACTATTTCATTAAATGATGCAAATTTAGACCGGATGGTCTGTTTTAATAAGAAAATCGGATGCCATAGGATGATTGACACGTGGACAATTTCAATTAAAATATAATTAGTATTTTAATAATTGAAAAAAAAAAAGAAAAAGGAAAAAAGAAAATCCCAGGAGAACCTGTAACCCCTCTAACCCTAATTATAAGAGCGTGATTTATTAAGAGTTAGACTTAAAAGTGCCACATGTCAAAAAAATAGTGGAATCCGATTTATATTAAATATCGGCTCATCCGCTCAGAATTTAATCTCTTCATTAAATTAGTAGCACCCTCCCCCTAAGATTATTTAATAGGGGGTGACTAAAAAGGAAAAATGCAATTTTATCCTTAAATTCATATTTTATTATTGTAAACTAAGTGGTTTTATAGACAATTCATATATAATAACTGATTTTAACAAATTTAATAGAAAATCTAAACTAAAAAACCGAACATGCTACTAACTAAATAATTAATTAGTCAGTAGGGAGTTAATCCAATATCATGTAATCCAATCTAATCCAATATAGGTAACCGAACGAGCCCTTAAATTAAAATAATTTTAGTTAAGAGACTTTGATATAATTTTAAAGTTACCTGTATGGTCAATATTTGTACGTGAGACGTACGCTACTGCCCGCGCAAGCTAGCAGTTCAATCGACCACTAGCTAATAACCTAGCTCGGAAGCAGTGTAATCATTCGGATGCTCAAAGTCCACTCTTGCTAGTAGGAATTTAGCATCGACGCATGAATTCGATTTCTATCTTTGCAGCCATGCTGGGATCCAGGTACAATCTTGTAGCACTTCAAATAATTCGTTGAAAATTTCAGCTTGTATTATACATATATATCACGATCTATACTTTGTTCGAATTATAATACATTATTTTTCTGATAATTCTGGTCTTGATAGGGAACTAGTCGTACAGCACATTACCATGTGTTGTACGATGAAAATCGGTTCAGTGCAGATGCACTGCAAATTCTTACAAACAACTTGTGTTACACGTAAGTATTCGTTCGTTATAAATGTCGAATACAATCATACTTTATTTTTTATATACTTCATATAAATTGACTTCAATTTTTTCGTTTTTCCCCCTCAGATATGCAAGGTGCACTCACTCAGTTTCCATAGGTAATATATACAGCCTTCAATCTGATTATAATCTTTCAAATCGTTTTGTTCTACTCGGTTACTCTTTATATTAACTTGAAATTGATTGTCTGTTGTGCAGTCCCACCAGCTTACTACGCACATCTTGCTGCATTCCGAGCCCGTTACTACATTGAAGCGGGAGAATTCTCCGACAGTGGATCTGCTGCAGCGGGCCCCGGTGGAGCGATGAGGGAGAGGGTTGGAGAGGTTCGGGCTCTGCCTGCAATTATGGACAATGTTAAGGATGTCATGTTCTACTGCTGATTTTGGTTGACTTAAAAAACTTAACTACAGGACTACATCTTTTTGTCTAGATTCACATGTTTTGCTGATTTTCGATTAATTTAGAAAAAAAACTACATCTTTTTGTCTATGAACATATGATTTTGTAGATTTCTCTTTTTCGGTGCCAAAATATGCTATGATACCTAAGGTTGTTTTGTCGTCGTAGGTTGAAAAAAATTCTGTGCCGTTTGGTTAATGATTCGCTGGCAATGTTATTTAGAATCTTTGAACTTCAACTGTGTTGGGATTAAAGGAATTTGATCGGTTTTCTTTGTTGAACGTATATGTTCTATGTGTGGTCGATTTTTATTTTTTTGTCTTATTTTTTTTTATGATGACAGGTACATATTGATGTATATATACATTGTTATATATAGTGATGCATGTGTCTTATGTATTTGAGTTATGTTGATATAGTTACTTTAATCTATAATGTGTCTATTGTAATTTACGTAATATGCTAATCATGTCAGAAAATTATTGAAAAGAACTGGTGTTATATATATAAACTTGTTTGCACCAAGATGGCACAAACAGGACTTGAAAAACAATTTTGTTAACATTCTGAAAGCACAGCCAAGCAGCATATAATATAAATTCGATGGTCTTAGATTAAATTAAATATCTAGACAACAACAAAATTAACCGAATCTTGTAGTATTGGTTGAAATTCTTTCCGTATACGAGCTATAATCCTTTGTCGGTTTGTGTAGCTTTTGTCGGGGCTAATTTCCACGATAAGCTCTTCAAGTGCCGTAGCTTTTCCAACAACGAGCACCCCGAGTTCCACTTCGTTCGGAGACGCTTTGATTCCCGACAGTTTCACCGTTTTCGGATGATCATCATTTGAGGTCTTGTTCACCACCTTCATACGATAATATCTTTCGTGGAGGCTTGTTGCCGTAAACTGCAAAATTATAACAATATATTAATATACATATATGAATATAATCGATTCCAGTTGATCAATTTTTGGATAATATATAAAATATTAGGATATAGAAATTACCTTAATCTCGAGTCTCTGCAAGCACGGACACGCGTCGATGAAACGAACGAGTTCGTGGAAGTCACCAGTATTCCTGAACAGATGACATTCCAACTCCACATGTTTAACCTTCGCCAATTGCTCACTAATTATATTGCCGCGTGAGAGGATTTCAGTTCCCATCTCGACACAATTAGTGTCCAACTCAACAAGCCTCGGCACATTTTCTATCACGAGGAGACAAAAAATCGAAAATTCATGAAACCTCATAGATTCGAGGTTCGTCATGTCTCTAATCTCCATGGTATTGATACTCCAACACATACATATGCTCAAGTGCTTCAACTTTGGCGCCAAATCACCAGATATACGCACGTCGCGTAATGCATCGATATGCGAAATCGAGAGGCGCTCGAGAGCGACGGAATTCGACAGCAGTAGCCTCAATCCCTCGTCGTCGAAATCAACACATTGTAGAGATAGCTCTTTTA